TTGCCCTCCTGGAGGTGGGCTTTCGCCCCTGACTCACAGTCTGTGCTGGACGTCCTTTTGTGGATTGGGGGCTGCTTTCGTTCCTTTCTGGGTGTTCCTATAAGACTTTTCAAAAAGCGCAGTGCTCATCACCTGCTCCGTAAGTCTATGGGCCTCCAATTTTTATTTTTTGCAGCGTTGTTAATTTTTGTCCAGTAATTGGCTTCTCCCCTTAAGTGTCCCGAAGCGCTCCCACCACCACGGGACCCATGACCCAAATCCCTTGTACCCGCGCCGCCCCCTCAAATCTTCAGCTCTGTGGGCAGCAGGCATGCTCGTCCTTTACCCACCCTGCCTTTGTTCCTGTCCCTTCCACGGAAATGGGAAACAGCACACATTTTTTTTCCCTTCTGACTTACCCAGCGCCACTGAGTCATCGTCCACGCAGATGGCGTGAGTCTGTCTCTTGATCGCTGGGCGTGTGGGCCTCAGATATTTCCAAGGATGCCTCACACCGCGGAGCGCACCTCTGTGCTGAGTGTGGGCTGTCTGTTTGCCCACTAGAACATCGAACTAAGTAAGTAACTTAAGCGTTTAATAATAAATTAGCGTGCGTTAGCACGCTTACTGAAACAAAAATCCGTGAGAGTCGCAGTCCGCTGCATGCTTGCGGCAGGTGCACTCCAGGTGTGCAGGAGCGCTCCAGGTGTGCAGGGGCGCTCCAGGTGTGCAGGTGCGCTCCAGGTACGCGCTGAGCGGCAGCCAGTCTGGGTGCTGCATCCGCTCTGTTCTCGACCGTGCTGCTGGCCCCTTCGCCTGGAGTTGTGCACCCCTCTCCCCTGCTCTTCTGGTAACCGCTGACTGGTCTGTAGTCCACACATTTATTTTTGTTTTACTTTGTTGATCTGTTTTCTCCGTACCCCAATGCTTGCCCTATTTCACTAAGCATAATACCTTCCATTCCCTTCTAGCTTGTTGCATGTGGCAAGCGCTTGTGTGGTCCCGCTGTGTGTCCACGCCGCTCGGTGACTGATGGGCTGCCCGCGCTCTCCGCGTGGAGGCTGCTGTAAATCACACTGCCCCACATGGGGGGCGTGGATCCTCTCACGTTGGCATTTTTGTGTTTTTCAGTGAAATACTCAGGAGTAGCGTAACCAGAGTTTCTGATCTCGGGGGAATTTCCGCACTGCCCTCCATGGTGGAACAGTTTGTATTCCTCCTCCTCCCCCGCCCCCCGCCATGAACCCCACTCTGATAGGTGTGAGGTGAGCACCTCCCTGGCTCGCGTTCTCCATGTGCTAAGCGAGGGCGCGCATCTCTGTGGGCCCGGCCGCCATCTGTGTGTTTTCTTTGCAGCAATGTCTCCAGCGTCTGCCCACTTTTTCATTGGCTTGTTTGTGCCTCGTTGAGTTTTGTGAGTTCTTTGTGGACTTGGAGGGCGAGCGCCGTGCCGGAGGTGTGCCGGTGGTCTGCCAGCGGGAGTGTCTTGAGCTCCGAGCCGCCCCGAACATCTCTCCGTGGAGCCGCGTCTTCCCGTCTGCCGCTGCATGTATTCCATTTGTTGTGTTTCGAGTGAAGTAAACTGAGCCTCACGCAGAGATGCAGCTGGAAGAAAGGGAGGGACGCGTTCATGGCTTGGGCAGGTCACTGTGGCTCTGGAATGGGGGGGCACTGACGCAGGCGTTCAGACTCTCGCCGTCGCCCCCCACTCGTCTCGGTTCTGCAATGTTTTCTAGCCGTGGAGGCGCTCCTGCGGATGCGGCCCCCCTCCCCCCAGGCCCCCACCGCCGGGGCAGGCCCGTGGGCTTGCGAGCGGGCGCGTCCTGCGGAGGCAGGCGGAGAGTTGGCAGAATTCAGATTTTCTTCAAAGCTCAAGTGTTATCCTTGGCAACAAGTGTTGGTGTTTATTTTTTAAAAGCAACTACCTTAGTTTTCAAGAGAACGTTTACCGGGTACCCAAAGCGGATGACCGTCCTTCCGGCCCGTTCTTCATTCTCCGACGCTCGGTCACGCTTGCCCTCGAGCGAGGCGTGCCGATCCGGCGGGAAGCAGATAGGCTTCAGCTGGCTTCCTACTTTAGGGAATGTTAAAGACACATACTCCAGAGTCAAGATTTAATAAAGTAAAATTGTACTCAAGAGCACGTTAGTGTTTTTCTGGGCCTGCATGCATGAGGCTCGCAGCGTGGGGGGGTGGGGTGGGCAGCTTCCCGGCGCCCCTGCTCCGTGCGCTTGTCCCCGGGGGCGGGTGTCTCAATGTTAACAAACTAGTTCTGGCTTTGTGGACTCCGAGAGGGTCTGGGGCCACAGAGGGTCTGTAGCCCTCGCTCCACGCGGTGTCCAGGCTGACCCTGCGGGGGGGGTTCCAGAAGTGACGGGCGTGTGTACAGCAGATGGCGCCGCGGAAGCACGCAGCCTGTGGGCCTGTCCTTCATGTACTGAGTGAGCACCGCGCCGGGCGGCTGCTGTCCTGCTCTGCCGTGTGACTGCTCGTCGCCTGTCGTTATTCGACCTTACCTGGTTTTGAACTGTGTAGAAATGAACCCATGAAGTGGGGACTCCTTTGGGTCTTGCCTTTTCCCGCTCAGTTCACCATCAGGTCTCACATGTCGCAGTGCAGTGCAGAAGCTCCTCTTTGCTCTTAGTTCTGCATTACAGGTGTGGTTAACTATCTTGAAGACGCTGCAGATGCAAGCGCTTTGCCATATATCTGTGAATGGCTGTGCAGGGAACGTTCAGCCTGGCGCCCTGTGTCCTTTGTGGTTGGGAATGTGGATGTTGAGTCCCAGCGTGGCTGCTGTCCCTGACCTGTGCCAGCGTGTCTTCTGCTGGGAGCTGCCTCCCTCCCGCAGTCTGGGGTGGGGTGTGTTCATGCGGAGGCTGCCTGGGGGATCTGCCCTCAGCAGTAGTCCTGGGCACTGAGGCTTAAGCACAGCCGTCCGCCCCTCACAGGCGGCACATCTCGCTGTGGGGGTTGTGCTTGTGCCCTGTGGCCTCACTTGCATCTTGCCCCTGGCTTACCCCTAACTCTGCCCCGGTGCCTGTGCCCTTTGAGGGTGCTGTTCTGAACCTTCTGGCTGTTGTGGAACATGAATGTGCAGATAGAGTCCTGTGAGCCCAACTAGTGACTGCTGCACCTGGGGGAGGACCTGGGCCCCCAACACGCGAGCACTAACTTTTGTCTCTCTTCAGATCTCAGGTATAAGGAATAAAACTGCCGAGACTCTGACGCGCTCGCCTTACAGTCATGCAAGGCACACATACCTGTCTCAGGTGCATATTTATAAGGGCACATCAGTGCCATTGCTGGGCATAGGTTACTGCTCTTCACTGAAAATTTTAGCAAGATGGTGTTTCATGTTGCCTAAAAGTGTCCCTTTTTTATAGCTTCTTGTATCTTACGGGGTTAGTGCCTTTGCCCGCCCCCTTCTGTGCCTGTTTGGCAAAACCTTTTACTTGTGCACCGCCCTGCTGTGCTTGCCACTCTTCTGTGGGTCTTCCCGTAGAGCACGTGGCTGGCTTGCATGCGTGTGTTCCTGTCAAATGCCAACCGCTTGGGGTTGGGGCATCTTTATGCTCTGCCCTTGGATGGCCCTGGCATGTGAGGAGCGTGTGCCTGGTGCTGGGTCCCCAGGCTTCAGGTTAGGTATTTGTGGTTCTTTGGTTTTTGCTCATGTGGAATTCTCTCTGGCCCAAACTTAATACCCCAGATCTTTTTTTTTTTAAGATTTATTTATTGATACAAGAATTGGGGTGCAGGCCAGAGGCGCAGGAGGGTGGGAGAAATCACCAGAGACAGAGTGGGGAACAAAACAGGCAGAAGGACCAAAAGCACTGCTGCGGGGAGCAGCGCACGACAGGAGAGGTCTGCTGCGCCATGTGGGTTTCTCCCCGTCTGGCTGGGAATTGCACCCGTGTTGCAGAGGCTGCGACAGCTTCACAGCACGGTGCTCACCCCGCTGCGCCTCCAGGGAGGCCCCTCTTTAAGTGATTGTGAGTGGCTGATGAGAAGAGGTGGAATGGGCGTGAATGTGGACTTTAATTTCAGCAGTTAACGAAGGACTCACTGCCATTTACGGAGGTCGTGCTCGAGGTGGTAAAAGTACCCATGGAAGGTCTTGTTTGGATCTGCCTTTCTTAGGTGTCTGTGTTGTGTACCTGCACATGCCCAGGTCCTATCCTGGGGGCTGTTAGACACCCCCTCTTTCGGTTCGCCAGGTGTGGCGCTGCAGTGCAGGCCGCTACAGTGGATAGGTCGGTGTGGCAAGAGCTGCAGCTAGCGGCCGCGAGTCCAGGATGTTGTTGAGCAGGCTTGGTATTAAACCTTCCCTTAACATTCTCATACACCTGTCCCGGAAATGATTTCTTCCCCCCAGACTGAGTTTATAGAGCACCAAGAATGTCGGGTCTTACAGGTACCCGTGGAACTGAGGACTCAGCAGGAAAGTAGAGAGAGCGGGGAGGATGTGCTCCCTGAGTAGCCCTTTAGCGCCTTAAAAATTCCGAGTGAGCCAGGCTTGAAGTCCTGGTGGGGCTCGGCGAGTGTGCAGCCCTTCGCGTAGGAGCAGGTGTGGGGTGCCTTTTGTGGGGAGGCGTCTTTCTGGCGGGGTGAGAGGATGGATGGGAGGTTAGGAGGTGAAGATGCCATGTTTTCTGGAAGGTTGGTGGCGGCAGAGCAGAAGAAAGTCACCAGCAGCTTGGGATGTTCTGAGTCAGGCTGTGGTTTGGGAGAGGAGGGACCCTTGGCACACGCGCAGACTGGCGGGTGGCGCAGATGGAAGGGACTCGCGAGCTGGGGGTGGGGTGGGGGGTGTCTTGTCTCTGCAGGTGACAGAGACCTGGCTCTGGGCTCCTGGCTGGCCCTGCCCTAACGCCCTCTCCTGGAGCTTGCTGCGTCTGCTGTCCCCTCCCTGCTGCCGCTCCGCTGTTACCGCACGTGCTTACTCAGTTTCTGCCTTTTCGTTCTTCTCTAGCTTTAAAAGTCTGAGTTGTCAAACCATTCCAGACATCTTCATTTACTCTTTTCTGTAGCATTTTCTACTGAACTGGATTTGTTTCTCCTGCATAGTTAATGCTCTCCTGGGCGAGGATTGTTTCATCTGCTTCTCTAAGCTCAGCATCTAGCCTAGCAGCTTCTTTAGTGTTTATGAACTAGGAGTCCAAATGGGTCGTTCTCATACATTTTTCTTCCTTACGTTGCCGCACAGGAGGCTGCGGGTGGAGTGGCAGTGGGTGAAGAATGGACAGATGAGCGCCTGGAGAAAGTCCCACAGAGGGAGGCGTTTCTTGACAACTGTAGAGTTACAAGGTTCAGCCACAAAGGTGCCCAGTGAACACGTGGAAATTGGACTTGGATTTATATTCTCCCAAACAGGGCATCAGGAAACCGTAGCCTTTCCTCAGGGGGACCCGGCCCATGTCCTCGCCTTTGGTCTGAATGACACTTAGCTCTGTCCTGGAAGGATTTTGAACTCAAAATCGTGGCAGGAAAGGGAACACTCAGACTCCGCGTCCGCTGCTGCTGCTGCGGCTCTGCCGGCCTTGTCACCACCACAGCGGCCAGGGTGCGCTGCGAAGCACCTGTCGGCGCTGCTTCTTTGGGGGCATCTAAATTTGCTTCTCTGCTCTCTGTTGCTGTGTTTTAATTAAAACACAAGTTATTCAAGACCAATACCTGTAAAACATCTGATTAATTAGAAAAGCTTTTACTGTGAACACAGTTTTGCTGGCACCTTCGTAGGTTCCAATCTGAGGATCCCAGGCTTAAAACCCCCTCTGGAGCAGGTGACCTGGGCACCCTGAGGGCAGGAGTCTTAAGGTGGGCCCATTAGGGCCTGGCAGGGCCGTCTTGGAGGGCGTGAGTTAGGAATTGTGTTGCTGATTAAATGCAAGCTGCGTGGAAACCAGCGGAGGCGGCAGTCTTGGCCCTTCATTTAGGATAGCGGAAACGCCCTAGCCGGGGTGTGACCTGGAGGAGTAGCTGTGCAGCGCGTGCAGCTCCCAGGTCGTGTGCGCCTGAAGACAGCCAGAGTTTCCAAGTGGGGCGATTCTAGATCTGTCCTATAGTACAAAGTAAAAAATTCGGGGATCTTGTTCATGAATCAGCAAACTTAGGCACCCTGTGTGGATTCAGGTTTTTGGAGCTCGCAGGTAATGGTTTAAAGCCACAGGTGCAAAAACCAAGCAAAGTCCAGTTATGTGCTAAAAGGAGCAGTAGGCAAACTTCTTGGTGAGCGTGACCGTGTCGGGTAAGTTGAGTTCTCTGAGAACTGCTCAAATTCTGAGGAGGTGGGTTCATGGGCAGTGTGTCATCGGCGCCCAGCGCTGTGCTGTTCTCATGCCTCCGGAGTGGGTGGTGCCCCAGCTGTGCCCAGTCAGCGGGGCCGGGAGGGCCTGAGGCGGTGGACAGGTTTTGTTCAAAGTACTTGTGCTGCTGCGAAGCAGTGGGAAGGGGCCCCTGGAGATTGGCATCCTCCCTGCGCGTGCCAGGCGCGGATCCCGGCCGTGCCAGGCGGGAAACTGCTGCTTCATGCCAGTGCCGACTCCTGCGACGCCCGCTGTGACGTGGCTGTCAGGAGCAGTGCCCCATGAGCATGTCTTCCTGGCGGGCGGGAGGCGTCCCTGCCACGCTCTCGGGCTGTGTTTCCGCCGGTCGCGGGGTAAATGCGTCAGCTGGCAGGGCCTCGTAGTTCTTCCCATTGGGCCACGCTCGTCGGTAGTATGAAGCTTTCGGATCTCTGGTAAGGCTCTGGTCGACCTTCAAAGCCTGCTTTCTTGCCTTTAGTGAAAAACCAAATTAAAACTTTCAAAAACAAAAGCTGCAGGCGATCGCACTTTACGGCAGAAGTGTGCGGGCGCTCCCGGGCAGTCGTGGCATAACGAGGCCGGGGGCTGCTGTGGTGAAACGTTGGTCTGAACCCAGTACGGGTTGGTCAGGGCTGGGTAGCAGGTGCAGGCTAGCGAGTGGGCGAACGCGGGGTGACGGGAGGTGTCTGGTGTGAAACTGAGAAACCGAATCCATTGAACTGGAGCGTTGAAGAGGATGGAGACGTTCTGCGAAGTCCAGGTTTCGGGCACTTCTGCTCGTGCCTTGTCCCTCGCGCTTTCAGGGGCCTTTCCCACCGCATGCTCAGGAGGAGGCGCCCCGGGGCCTGAGCCTGCCGCGGACGAGAGTGCCCAGGCCTTAGCCTTTCTCTCCCTGAGCGCTTAGACTCCCCTTTTTTTTTGAGGACCCCGTGGACTGCCGGCCCGCAGGTTGCCAGTGTGCGCTGCCCGTCGTGTGTCAGCACGGGCTGCGCGCCCTGCCCTGTGTGTGACGCGGGCACTTGGGCCACTGTCCTGGGCGCCTGGCAGGGGGTGACGTTTTTTACTGAGGGAGAGAACCACAAAGTCTGGCTCCCGGCGGCTGGGCGGGCTCGTGATGAAGGGTGCTTTCCTTCCCCCAGCGCCCGGAGCCGTGTGCGTCTGCGCGGCGCTGGGGACCGTCCTTTGGGGTGGCTCTCGGCCTCACTCCGTCTCCTCTCGTCATCACGTGTGTCCTCGGCTGTGGAAATGGCTATTGCCCCGTGCCCAGCGGAACCTTGGGAAGGTGCTCGGCGAACTTACCAGAAGGGCCGGTGGGCACTTCCGTCGCCCAGACGGGAGCGTGGAGGCGCAGTTGAGTACCTGCCCCTAAGCGGCAGGATCAAACTTCTGAAGCACCTGCATTGGGGGGTCACTGTATGCCCTAAAGTCAGCCTTTCCGTGGACTCCTGGCTGACTCCTCCTCTGTCTGTGGCGTTGCAGCCTAACAGCATAGTCTAATTTTAGAATATTTTCAGCAATCCAAAAAGAAACCTTGTATCCGTGAGCTGCCCTCTAGCCCTCCTGCCCTCAGGCCCGCGGGTCCTGGACATCCCAGAGAAGTAGATCTTTGCTTGTGAGGTGGTCTCTGAGACAGGCTCACTCCCTGGACGTAATGTTTTGGGGTTCATCTGTGCTCTATGTGGATCAGTACTTCATTTTTAGCGTCAAATAATATTCTGTTGTGGAGATAAACCCCAGAATTTGAAGTGGGTAGTCTGGTTCTAAAGCTCTTGGTACTGCTGTCATGCCAGGCTAATTCCTTCCATTAGACTGGAAGGTTCTTGAGGCAATAGCTTACCATTCGATGGGTGTCTTCCCTGCAGAGTGCATGGCTCACCTGACCTCTCCTCCTGCATCTTCACACACAGGCGAGAAACCCAAGTTCTGGTCGCTGTCATCAAGGCGTTGGGTGGGAGAAAGGAGGCGCGAAGTCCCCATCAAAGCAGTGCGGGAAACCTAAGTGTCTTTCTGTCTGTATCTAGGAAGAAGAAGCGGGAAGGATAAAAGATTGCTGGGAAAACCAGGACGCTCCAGCACTTTCTACGTGTAGCAATGCCAACATCTTCCGAAGGATAAATGCCATCCTGGATAACTCTCTGGACTTCAGCAGAGTCTGCACCACACCTGTAAATCGAGGAGCCCATGATCACTTGCCAGGTGACTTAGGTGGGAGAGCTGTGCGGGGGCTGCTTCCGGGCAGCCTCCTTGGGAAGCCCAGGAAGGCACAGCCTGAATCGTGTGTAGTTTACCTGGTGGATTGGGTCTCTCGTGGGTGAAGCCAGCCAGAGCTGTCTTAGGATACCCAGCAGACTTGGGGGAGCAGCAGGGCAGAGGTGGCTGCATATCACATAGAATCACGGCGGGGCGCACATACATGACTACTTCTGGTAGCCGCGTTAAAGAAATTAAAACTGGTGACATTAATTTAACATCTATTTAAACCAACATATGCAAATATCAGGTCAATATGTAATCAATATTAAAACTATTACTAAAATGTTCTTTTTTTAGTACTCAGACATCAGAACCCGGGTGTGTCCTACATTTGCAGCTCAGCCTGGAGCGCATTGCGGGGGCGACGCTGCCTGCCTGTCTGCTGTCGCTCTGGGACTTTTTCACTGCTTTTGAGCGTGCGTGCCACAAGCACTCACCTTCCTAATCTAGGCTTTTCCACAAGTTGGGGGAGAAGCACATCTCCTGAAAATGGTTTTTCCCAAGGAGGCGTTGATGTTCCAATATTGTTTCATAATCTTTGGTGGGAGTTGAAACATGTTATAAGAATGTTGATGGAGTATTTTTTGTTGGCGTTATTTTAGATGTAAGTGAACATATTTTTAATTTTTTAAAATGGGCCTTGAGAAAAATTTGGCAACAGTAGGGATTCTCAGAACAAAGACTGGTAGTTGCTTTTTTTTTTTTATTATAAATTCTTTGATTTATTTTTTAAGTTGGCCTTGGAAATCATTCCCACAAGGATTCCCAGAGAACAGCCAAATGTTTGCCTGGAGTTTCAGTAAGGATCAGACTGACTTCTGACTTTGTTTCTCTTAAGTTGCACAGGAGGGGAGAAGAGACAGGCATGGGCGTGGGGAGGGCTGCCGGTGGGTCTTCTCCAGATTCATACGTAGGTACATACATACATACATATATACATACATATACACGCATACATATATATATATATACATGCTTCTGTTAGTTGGAGTGAGTCTTGAGTGAGTCTTGAGCTAAGCCTTATTCTCCTTTAATTTATGCTGAGTTAAAAATTCAGGGATTTGCTGGTTCTACCTTTATGTTGTTTTTTTCTTTTGAGAAATTTACATGAGTTCCATTGTTATTCCAATAAGAATGACTATCAGTGAAGACTCAGATCTCACTGTGTTGCTTCATATGTGCTAGAAACGTTAACGTTTTATGGTAAAGTATTTTTGCTCTTGTGGATTATTGAACTGCCAAGGCGAGAGACCCACAGTTAGTGAGAGAGGCGTGCTGAAGAGTGACCTTGGCTTGTCAGGGCGCCCAGTGCCAGACTAGACTGCAAGTATGCAGGGTATACACAGGCATAGACTTCTTGGCCTCTGCGGACCGTGCCAGGACATAACATCCAAGAGGTACAGTGGGAAGAGGAGTGTGAAGAAAGGGGTCTTGGGCTGTCTTGGTCAGTGCCATACGGTAGACAGTTTCCCCACCTGCGGGACAGAATGGGAAAGCCTCGCTCCTCCAGAGGCTCTGACGAGGAAGCAATGCTGCTTTTTTGAGGACTCTGGGAGTGTTAGGAAAGGTCTGGTCAAGGTAACGGGTGTCTGAGTCCGCACACACCAGACCCTACCCAGCTGAGAGGCTAGCCCAGGGCCCAGCCCTTGGCAACATGTGGTGGAGCAGGGAGCCCCTAGAGCAGAGCGCGCGGTCTTGGTTTTCCCAGAAAGAAATCCTGATAAACCAGGTCAGGACGCTAAACTTGTGATTAATATAGATGGGAAGTAGACCTGTGTTCCTTGAAGAACCTTTTTTTTTTTTTTTTTTTGCATAGAAGAACTGGGGTACAGGCCAGAGGTCGGGGGTGGGGGTGAGGATTCACCAGAGACAGAGTGGGGAGCAGAAAGGGCAGATCTACTGAATCTACTGTTGAGGGGAGCAGCGGGGAGACAGGAGAGGTCTGCTGCGCCCTGTGGGTCAGCTCCCTGGTCAGGGATGGAACTCAGGCTGTGGTGGTGATAGCGCTGAGACTCAACCTCTAGGCCACCAGGGAGGCCCCCTCCTTGAAGAACATTTTAAGAAACAGCTTGAATGTATAGTTTCTGATCAAAAGTAATTTTACCATCTAAGCAAATAATTGGAATTGTAAAATTTGAAAAACAAGTTTATTTCTCATTGCATTTTAACTTGAAAACTTAGCAGCAGGTTCAGTAACCTCACATAGAATAGCTGTTCTGCAGCTTCCAGAACTTTCGAAGTAGCACAGTCACACAACAAATCCATCGATAGCTGTTAAACTCGGTGTTTGCAAAAGACTGCCTAATGACTTAGAAGGCTACTCACAGAATCTGACTGAAAAAAAGCGACACGCAAAACAGTGTAGCCTTAACGATGCATACGTGCGCAGAGAAAGACTGCAGTAATCAATTCAATGACCAGTTGAATGATGGTGTTGGGAGTACTTTTTCTGTGGGTTTTTCCCATTAGCTTTGTTGCAGCAAACATGTCTTAGAGTACAAACAGCGTTTAGAAAACGCCTTGTCCTCACAGTGCACAGCTCACGTTCTGGCTTCATCGAGTTCACCGGCTTCAGGCTGGCGCATGGGACTCTGCAGGTCTGTGCCTTGTGCCCATCTGGGCGGACGTTTGGCTTCATCATTTGCAGGGTGGTTAACTGTCGGAAGGTGTCCCTGCATGTATGAGAGTGTGGAAAGCGCTGTGGCTGGCACTGGTGAGAGAGAGGGTGGTGGCTAGGGAACCGGAAGTCCCCTTTGCATGAAGCAGCATTGGAAAGAGGCTCTGAAGAATAATTATTTCGGTGACTGGGTGTCGAGTAGATCTTGTGCAGCTGCCTCAGAGGTGGCCATTAGGGTCTGAAGTTGCGCGCGTAGAGTAGTGCGCACTGAAGCAAGGAGCAGCAGTTGGCTCGAGAGGCCTCCCCTTACCAAGAGGCCCCAGAACTGCTGCTGCCTGAGCCAGCCTTCTCAGGAGGAGACCCCCGCCCAGGCAGCTCTGGAGGTGATTGCCGCCCCTCTGGGTGAAGGAGAGTAGGTGCCGCGCTGCCGAGCCAAGCATAAGGGAGGCACTTGGACGGAAGGTGGCAAGGCTGAGCCCCTTGTCGGGAGCTGGTGGTTCTCCGGCGCCGTTCGAGTGGAGATGGAAGTGGAAATGAGGGACAGCAAGGGGGGCTGGAGCTGTCTGTGTTCCACCAGATGCACGGGGAGGTGGGGGTCCGCAGGCTAGTCCTCCCCCGTGGCGGCCCTGCGCGAGGCCGGTGGTGGCTGAGACATGGCTGGGCGCTGCGTGGGGTCCACGTCCTCGTGGAGTCTTTGGGCTTCTGCTAAGAGTGTGTGAAATTTGTAGACTGATCTGTGTGGTTTGCTGTTAATAATATTAAGCCTTCCAGTCTGTCACCATGGAATGTGCTTGTTCTTACATCATCTTTGACTCTTTTTAGCAGTGTTTCTTAGTTTTCTTTGTACAAGTCTTCTACAAAATTCCTTAGTTACGTTAATTTCTAAGAATCTTCTTTACTGTAAAGGAAATTTTTTTTTAAGATTTGTAATTTATTTATACAAGAACCGGGGTACAGACCAGAGGTGCGGGAGGGTGAGAGGATTCACCAGAGACAGAGCGGGGAGCGGAACAGGCAGACGGACCGAAATACACTGCTGAGGGGAGCAGCAGGCGAGACAGGAGAAGTCTGCCGCGCCATGTGGGACCCTCGCTGGCCAGCCGGGATCACACCCGCGCTGCAGAGGCTGCAGACAGCTTCACAGCCGGCGCTCAACTGCCTGCGCCACCAGGAATTGCTTTTGTAATGTACTTGTCGTTTGTGTGCAGTAGACCCTTGACCAGCCTGAACCGCGTGGGTCTTTTTCTGTCTGCTTCGGCATTCGCAGATGCAACTGTCTGTAGCTGGTTGGTTGAAGCCTTGCGTATGGAGGGCTGACTAGAAAGGATTTGAGCATCTGTGGACTTGCGTATCCTACAGAGCCCTAAAGCTCCCTGCTCCCCAGACTCTGAAGATACCCAGAAATGACTGCAGTTAAAAGTTAGACCTGGGTTTTCACCTGGAAGATTGGGATTGGTGCCCTTAACCCTCCGTGCATTGTTCGAGGATCAAGTGTATCTAGAGAACAGCTGGTTTTCGTGTGTTTGCGTTATAGCTGTTATTTTGATAAAATTGTTTATTCTAGCAGTTTCTTTTTTGGTGGAGTCTTTGGGGTTTATCTCCACATAAGATTGTATCATCTGCAAACAGATAGTTTTTGTTCCTCTTTTCCATTTGGACGCCTTGTATTTCTTGCCCCATTGCTCTGGCTGGAACTTCCAATGCTCTGCTGAACAGCGCTGGTGAAAAAGGCACCTCTGACCTTTTAGAAGAAAAGTTTCCTGTTTGTCATAACCGAGTATGATGTTCATAATTGAGTATGACTTTATTATGTAGCGGTAGCTTTCTTCTATTTTGTTGAGTGTTTCTAATCAAGAAAGGGTGTTGGATTTAGTCACCTGGTCTTTCTGCATTGCGACAGGAGCGTGTTTTACTCCTGTGGTGGTTTCCATTGGCTCCGCCGTGGAGCCGTCCTTGCACTGGCGATAATCTCCCTTGGTTGTGGTGCGTAATTCTGTCAGTGTGCTGAATTGTTGACGAGTATTTTGTTGGGAATGTTTGCATCGGTGTTCATAAGAAGTATTGGTTCAAGTTTTCTTGCAGTGTCTTTGGTATTAGGATTATGCTGGTTTCAGAGAACGGATTGGGAATTGTTTCCCTCCTCTTCAATTTTTTAGAAAAGTTTGAGAAGCTTGGGTACTAGTTCTTTTGATGTTTGGTAGACTTCACCAGTGAACGCATCAAGTCCAGTTCATTGCTGAAAGATACTTGATTACGGATTTAATCTTTATGCATTATTGGTCTATTCAGATGGTCTGTGATTTAATCTTGGTGGGGTTTTGGCTGT